ATCTAGAAATATAATCATATATATATATATGATATTCGGCTCGACGACGATGGCGATATACTCTGCTAGGTTTTCACCCGACGACGAAACCATGCTTTGATTCCTTGTCGACGACAAAGTACCAGCACTCGACGAAGACAACGCAGTTCTCGCACTTGACAACGACGACGAAGGACTTAACCTTGCGATCGTCGTCTTCTCTTTTGCACCAAACAACGAAGGGCTTCAGTGTCTGCTTCTGCGGCTTCGTCGTCTCCTCCTTCGTGCCTTCCAGCTAGCCTTCTAGCTTCTGAGGTTCTTTTTTGCGTGGATCGAGCTGCAATTTCATCTTTTCTGCCCTGTCTTCTGCGCATTTCATCTGCGGTTCTTGTCTGCGCAACTTCGCCCCAAACACTTAGGCTTGTCTTTTTTGCCCTCCGCCCGACTTGCAAGGCTTCTCTTTCCCGTGATGGAACTTTCTACTTCTTTGGTTGAACCTGACAAAATCTCCTTTGCACACGTTGTGGGTAATCCTTAGAGGGAGACGGCGGTTGTCTTCCCTTCAAGTTATAAGGAGCATCGTGATGGTACAGGTGACTGCCCGTTTATTAAAAATGCAAGCAGAAAAAGTGAGAAGACAACACTCCTTTTCTCCACGTCAGAAATTTCAACGGTCACTAACAAATTCAAATTTGTTCTTATTGAGAAATTTCAATGGGGATACCCACCTATGAAAATTATCAGGAAAAATTTTGATGACCACAAATTAACAGGGAAGTGGAAAGTGATGCTCGTGAATGGGAAACATATTGATTCAGTTAACTGTGTATGAGGACTACATTCGGATTTTCTCCGGAAAATATCTTAACATCGTTGGTAAACCATGAAGCTGCTCAAGTGGTCTCTTGATTTTGACCCCAATCATGAACCTCCTATTGTACCGGTATGGTTAGGCTACCTGGTCTCAAACTGCACTTTTTTCATCATTAGGTTCTTTACTAGGTTCTTTACTCTCTTTACTCGATTGGTGTCATACTTGGGGACCCTATGAAACTAGATCTACCCACTCTCAATCTTACTAGACTTTCTGTGATCAAATACTTGTGGAAAAAGATATTACTTCGCCTAATGTTACTGAAGTCTGGTTGGGCACAACACATAATGGATATTGACAATAAATCGTCATGGAGCATAGACCTCCTTATTGTTCTCAATGTAAGATGTTTGGGCATACTCTTGATAAATGTCATAAGATTCATCCTAATTTGAAATCTAAATATCAAGTAAATAAGAATGGACCAAAGGATATATTTGTTCCACCTGGAGAGAAAACTATCACAGGAAAGGATTTGGTGTCTGATTCTATTTCCCTCCCCCTGAAAATATTGTTTCTGCAATCGATGAAAAGTTGGATGGCCTTGCTGAGCAACCTACACTTTCAAACCCTATTAAAAACAATAATGAAGGACCTCTACCTACGCGGATTGATAATCAGGAGAAACTTGCAGCTCCCCACTTTCAGAAAGTATCAGGGGTAGAGACGACAACTCTTACCTCACACACAATTGTTGGCACAACTGTTAGCAATCTTTCAACTGCAGCACTACCACCTTATCCGAATGAGCAACAATCTTCGGATGAGGAATGACAGGTTTATACTTCCAGGAGGTACTTCCAGGTTTATACTTCCAGGAGGAAGAAGAAGAATGAAGATCTACTTGAGCTATGGAATCTAAGAGATGATACTTTGGTTACTTCGGGCAATGGTACACACCTCACCAATCTGTTGGCTGGTTCATTTCCGAGAACTAGAGGCAGAGACAAAACTAAAGTGGGTCGATGTGGTTGATCTTTTATTTACTATCTACTTTTGGGTTGTTAATTTTTTTCTTCTCTTTTTGTGTCTGTTGTACCGTATGGGTTGGGTGCCTATTTGGAGCCACTCATACAACCTATCTCTATCCCTTTTTTTTTTAATATAAAATATATAGATACATACATATACATAAGTTATGATGATGATGTATCATTTTTATCCATTTATTTTGACTTGCATAATTTTCAAACTGAGGCTTAAGCCTCGTGAACAAAAAATGCCTCAATATCCAATTGCACAATTTTAAACATTGATCTAAACAAAATATTTTTCCGCTCAATCCTTATTAGTGACATTAAAATGTGTGCTGATGAAAAATTAACTTACAAATTTATCGGCTTTTATTTCATTTCATGTATGTGAGAGAGGGAGGGTGTGACAAAAATTTGTACCAAAATTGGGGCAAAAAAACAAACTTTAATTAACAGAATTGAAAAGGAATCATAAGAGTTTTATTGAAAGAGTACTACAGGTTTTCATCTCATTATTTAATCAACACATGGGTTAATTCATCTTTAAGAAGAAAGAAAGCAGTCTACATAAGAAAGACAAAGCTTCGGGTAAGATACACATACATGTCTTTGTGCATGTTGGGACATTGTCATAGGCAAAGGGTGATTACGGATTTTTATTGTGTTGTTGCTATTACCAGTTGCAAGCCTCAATATGGCAGCATTCATCAAATTTATATACGTAGCAGCTGCATGTTGGCAGGTACAGTTGTGAAGTATTGTATATCCTAAACTTCCATCAGCATACTGATCGTCCATGACAACTGCGCCATATCTTCAAAAAAATGAAGTAAAAGCTTTTGAATTTAAAATAAATATCTAAATTACTATGAGAAGGAAATATGATTATCTAGAAATATAATCAAAGATATGTCAACATAAGCAGCAAGGCAACCACACTTCACCAGAAACAACTGCTACAAACAATGGCATAAAAAAATAATATTATAAACTATTAAAAACACAAAAGATTTAACAAAATAAAAAAAAAATAAAAATAACGCTGGCGGGCAAGAGAGAACCACCACAAAGCAACTCACTCTAACGACAGAGAACAGAGAATTAATAAACGACTCAATGATTAGGACAAGCAAATAATTATACCTACTTATTGCGGAAGATACAAAACCAAACCTTGCAATTTAAACTAAAATTTCATCCATAGCCAGCATCGAGCTCGCAAAGCATTAATGCAATGAAATGATTAGAAGCGATACACATTTTACTGCAAGCTTGCGCATTCCATGCAAGCAGTGCACAAGGTTAGTACATTTCTTCTTCCCTAAAGCACACTTTAAATAGCATTGGTACACCGATACTGGAGTTAATCTAAATAACAATAAAAAAAGTAAATATTATCACTGGAAGCAAATATGTGGTTACAAAGAGACTGAAATAGAAAATAACAACTGACACGACACAACACTCAACGAGGGTGGATCCCCGGCGGTAGTGATGGTCGATGAGGGATAGAAAAGTTGGCAGTGGGTTGGAGGCGATAACAGCAAGGATGGAGAGTTGAAACAACGATGAGCAAGGTGGTGGGTTGCTAGACAGCCAAAGGAAGGCGGTTCTGGATAGGGGTAGCGAGGAAAAGGACTGGACAGTGAGAAAATTGTGAAAAAACAACAAAAGAACAGATGTCATGGTGACCTGCAGTGAGGGGGAATGCGAAACGGTAAAGCAGGAGAGATGTAAAGGGGATGGGAGAACATAATCATTACTTTTGGAGAGGCATACAGTCGAAGCACAACCCAATTCCTTGAATACAACCCTTGAAGGGAGAATAACAGACGCTGGCGCTTGTCCTAGAAAAATACATCAAAAACAGACTTCAAAACCCTAATACAACACAAATATAAGAAATGATTATAAAGGAATGAAGGATAATAGGAAATAAAACATAATAAAGGAGAGGCCCGTCTCTCGTGATTGAGAAATCCAACGTCATTGTGACAACTACAGTATTCGCATAATTTTTTTGTGCGGGAAGCTCCAGAGTCGATCTCCTGAAATTGGGGCAGCTTCAACCTCATCCGTCGAAGCTTTTGTCTCATCATAGAAGTCCAGTCGGCCTCGCTGAAGTTATCAGGAATAACATAATCTCCTGACAAGTCAATCTTGTAGACGTCGACATTCCACGACAAGTCTTGATAGAATATATATGTATCCTTTTAGGCATATCCTGAACTGAAGCTGCACATAGATATAAATTTCCACAATGTAACTCTCTAGCCCTTAAGTCTAAAACATGTTCCTTCCACTTCTCGTACTCAGCGAAATATAGCTGATAAACAAATATGTGAAGAGAAATCAACTCTAGAATGAAATTTGTAGTAGGTTGCACCACTCTCATTAGTAACAACTGAAGAGAGACTTGTTCTTCTTCACTGATAGGACCTAGATCTCATTGAAGAATTTTTTTCCCCATCAAGCTCCTAAAATAATTCCCAAAGTTGTGGTTCAACATTCTTGTCCGTACATCTGATAGTGGGTACACTGCTAAATGGAATTTAATCTTCAAATAACTCCATATATCTAAAAGAGGCACAAAAGAGCCCCATATCTGACACACCGAACCTCCCTCAGTAGACGCAGCTCAGAAAGGAATCTATAGATATGAAAAGTCTGAAATTTTCTTATTTGAGGTTGTCAGATGTTTGGTGTCGATTCCTCGAACTTAAAAATAACCTTGTACCATCAATGTGAATTCTGTTGAAGTCTCCCTTATGCCCTCAGTTGAAGCTACGTGCTTTTCTTCCTCATCCATTGTATCTGATCCATTCTCCTTTGAGTTCACTTTCTTTAATGTCAACTGTCATTGCCCCATTAATCAATAGCTTGCTGCTCAGTAAAATATATCATCCCTTGGTTGTGCAATTTGCTTAAATAAGCCCAAATCTGTGAAACTTGAAATACTTCTTGGCTAGGATGGATTTGGTAATGCGCATTGGTGTCCCTTATTCTCACACTGAACTAGCATCTCCTCAGGCAAGGTTAGCTTGGATGTTCCCCTGGGTATTGTGATTGAAATATCCTGAGGTTAAACACTGCCTGTAAGATATGATGGTCCCCCGACAATGTGGTATCTCCAATGCTGGATCTAAGGTATGAACATCCAGTCTGTAATGAGTCGGTGGAAACTGTCTCTACATAACCTATTTTATCTTTAGAACAGGTAGTAATTTTGTCTTTTCCCTCACATTGGGGTAGATAATTCAAATTTTACCATTAAAATAATGCACTCTTCTTGAGCTTGCTAACAGCTAGTTTCATCATTCCGTTTGAGTCTTGACACTCAAAGACATATTCCAAGGTCCGGAGTCACTCGATGATCTCATCCAAATCCATATGGGCATCAAAATTTGGCAAGTCAACCCTTATTTCCCCATTTTGTCTTCTCAGGTAATCCAGGTCAAATCTTTAAGGCAGAGGTTTTTCATCCCTCGAATCAACATAATGGAAGAGATTCACTCTATGCCTTCGATCTAGTAAGTCACCGTTGTGGCTATGAGTGACCCATCTGGATTGCCTCCTCTCAGAAGTGGCAAGCCTCTGTTGTTTTTGGCGGGTTTCCCACTGCTATATCTTCCCTAAAAATCTTCCGGACCCGCATTGTGAATTCCTCATAAACAAGATCGTGCAATTTCCCCTTGATCAAACTTTCGACTATTGACAGCTCGGTGGCATGGCTAGGTTTTAGGTTTAAGAGGTGAAAGAGGGAGTATAAGATTGATTACGAGTGCATAAAAGCACTTTAGGGTTGCTGATTTTGAAAAATCAAGAAGAGGACAATTGGGATTAGGTTCAGATTTGGCTATGATTTGGGAATAGGAAAGAAAATTTTTGGTAGAGGTACCTTGAGTAGGGGTAGACACTAACAAATCCTAGGATAGGACTAGGATTAGGCAAGGTTTGAGAATAAATGATACCAAGGTTTACACAAACCATAATAGAAAAGCAAATATCATTACTTGAAGCAACTAAGAAGTTACAATCAACACACTTGAAATGAAAATACAACAACACGACACCGAAAATCAGAAATAACAACATTCGCGACACAAATAATCAAACTAGGGTGGGATCTCGGGGTAGTGGCGGTGATCGACAAGGGATTGGCTCTCCGATGAGGTAACAAGAAGTGGGTGAAGGCTAGAAGACGCGGCGACAACAAATGATGTGGACGGCAGTAGCGAAGGGGAGGAATTTTTGCTCAAATGTCTATCGACACTGCCGTCGACGCCCGTTTCTCCCTTTGAGGGCTATATCCGAGGGTTTTGTGGTGCTCCGGCTATATCTCTCTCCCGAGGTGGTGTTTATCTTCCTTATCCATTTCGACATCCTTCCCATGTCACTCCCAACCGCCCTCATTGCTGTAGCGCCCCCAAACAGCTGCCCCATGCTGTTTTCCCTGCAATTTCTCCAATCCAACCCCCTGTCATCTCTGCCGCCACCCTAGACAACCATCCTCTTGCCGTCCTGTAGTTTCCCACATCCCCCATTGCTTTCGCCGACATTCCCCCGCAACGCTGCAACTGCCCGAAAACAACATTATCCTGCTATTATCTCCTACTCCAGACACCCATCCTTCCATTCCTCTCCTTCCAGCTTGCTGCCCTTGCCGCAACTCCTCCCCTTTGTTGCCATCGTCTACACCCATTGCAGTCACCATGCCTTCAAGCCTTCACCCAGTCCTTGTGATCAGATATTTACTCATGGAAAGAAGAAGTGGGCCATGTTCTTTAAGACTAATAATTTAACAAACAAATGACTTATCAATTGGTATCTCACCTCGACTGATAAGATTCATTAAGGCTAGTAATCAGATATTCACTCATGGAAAGAAGAAGAGGGCCATGTTCTTGTCCAGCTGCACTAATAGCATCAGCAAGTGCCTTTTCCGGTTCAGGAAATCTGTAACTTCTGGGTTCCTCTTTCTGTATCCAACCACCTATCACGTGTGATACAACCTGCAATTAAATAATTCTCAATAGATCAGAATGCGGCATACACTTATGATTAGAAAAGTAAATTTACAGAGAGAAAAACTATGGAATTAATATGCAATCAGAAATTTTGTTTTATAAAACTAAGCAATACCTTTTCAGCAACTGGATAACAGAGATTAAATGGAATTGGTCCACCACCACCTCCACCAGTTAATAAAGGATTGAAGTGAGATGTTGTCAGTAACATGGAACCCTGATCAGGATGAGGCTTAATCCTTAAGAAAAGTAAACCTAAAAACATGAAAATAGCCGGAATCAGCAGCTGAAAAGCAACTGTTTTCCTATCCCTTCGAGCAGAAATCGCCCTTTTTATGAAGAGCGCCTTTAAGTGCATCCAAAAAACTGGCCTTATGACGCAGCTACAGATTTTAGTTAAAGAGAATACCGCGAAACCAAAGATAGTGGATATGATCAAGCTAAGAATATGCCTAATAGCACAGAACAGCCTTCTGAAAAACCCGAGAGTATGAACCCAGTAACCTTTAGATACTGATAATCCAAAATGCGTGCTTTGGGAAACTTGATAACCTGCAGTGCTCGAGTTTTCGAGACCTTTTTGATATTGATGAAAATCTACTTCATCCAACCTTTGCCCTGCAACTTTCAAAAAAACTTCCTCCAGTGTAGTAACTGAGATTCCATAACTCTCAATACCACAATCATTTTCCACAAATCTAGAATTATCTTCATTGTCTGGTCTTCTCATACGGCTTTCAATCTCCCGGAACATATTTACAAATAATGATGATGAAGCAAGAGGAAGTCTGAAGGATACTTCCGAACCAACCTAAATAAGAAAGGAATGCAATGGGAAAAACATTTTCGACATTTAGAAAAAAATAAATTCATCGAGAAAATAAATTAACAATTAAAACATGGAATATTATCATAGGAACACAGAAAAAAAAATAATGCCTTTTCTGCACCAACAACTCCATACAGCTCAAGAAAACATGGCATAAACAGACTCCGGAAGATAGGGGACTCACAGAACAGATTCACTATATAATCCCAAGGAAAAATAAATGTTTGAAACACTGCAGTGCCCTTCTTATCACGAAATATTCAAGTGCAACATTAACACAATAAGAGAATGCAATTTTGTTTTCTTCGTGATTACTCGTCAATATAAAAGGTACAAGCAGAGAGGATAAAGAAAATGACTAAATAATTAAGATAGCTAATACAGACTTCTACCGCCAAAGTGTTTCTTATACGTTCAGCAGTATCAACCAAGTCATGTTTTCCATAGGCAATCGATCAGTTAATAGAAAGTTTTAAGCAAAATTTTCCATGATTCCAAAGATTATGGTATCCATCACTTGCTACCTCTTAAAATAAAAGTAAAATTTAAGTAGGCTTAAGCAAACCAAAGAACAAAATTAATTAACTGAACAAGGCAAACTAAAATAAATGGATTTTCATTTTGAAACAGCATATGTACTTTCAAAATCAATAACAAATAGATTTCGGAAAAAGAGAGTTACATCAGATATGCATTCAGCTGTTGGCACATGATGACGAACGATCTCAGCCCCAACAGAAGCACGTGGGGATGTCTAGTGACGAAGAGACCAAGCAGAAAAAAAAAAATTAACATTCCCAAAAACCACAATAATAATAAGTTTAGAGAGAGAAGATAAAATACAAATAAACCTTGGCTATCGTTAGTGTGTATCCAACCCCATACCGATTCTTCAGAAAGAGAGAACTGCCATGACACAATTTTAAAAAAATAAGTGGAAGAAAAATCCAAGCAAGCATTTGTTTTTCCTCCAAAATCAACAAAAAAAAAAAACTAGTATGAAATATTGTGACTCTACAGCCTCATTATTCATACAATTCTAATGAGATTTTTTTCTACGAAATTAGCAAATGACCTCTAGATCAAAATGGAGGTAACCTAATCGATTCTCTAGGGCAGTTATTTTGCACAGCCTTCAAGATCTCAAGAATAATCCCAACTGCTACACTTGACCATTCCATGTGATAGGAACTTACCCGCAATGTGAAGATGTATGCTGATCAAGTTGAGTAGACTTCACTAGTTCAAACGCCATGATACTAGAACTAGTAGGAAAAACAGTGGAAACACACAAACAAACTTTCATTAACAAAAATGAGATTACAACATGACTCAAACGAAAATAACAACTCAAACATAAAAGAAACAAGCAAAGACTCCAACACGTATCCCATTGTGTGGTGGAGGCGGGCTAGAGGGATAGGAATGATTTTGAGGGATGATGGCAGTCACCGAAGACAGGTGGTAGCGAAGGGAAGGTGCAAAACTATAAGAACAATAAGTGAGAAGGGTTATAGGTAGTCGGTAGCAGTAGTTGGGTGGTTGGGCGGAGCATGAAAGGAGTTAGATAGGTGGAACAACAGTGATATTCTGCATGAAGAGCGAATAATTGGGCGTTAGCGTAACGGTGGTAGAGTTTGACAGTAGAGGAGTGGAGGGGAGAAGGGTTGAAAAGGGTAAAAAAGGAGGATACAATCACCACCTCGGAAAGGATACAACCGAAGCATCACCACCTCCTCAGATACAACCCAACAAAGGAGAAAAAGATTCCACATAGGAGATCTAAAACTAAACTCAAACACAACTCCAATCTGAGTCCTACTACACAAAGACAACAATTTATAGATTCCTAAGGAAAACTTCAACAAAGGAAGAAAGTGGAAGGCCAAGAAGAATCCAAAAAACACTTCTAAGAGCGGCAACCTCGTGAAGCTTCCCTGGAGGTGATGCTTCTTTATGAATCACGACATTTCGCGATCTCCATTTCACGCCTTCGCGGGGGATCTCCCGTTCGCGAACCTTCAAGAGAAATTGCGATTTACCCGCCCGACTTTTGCGAATCACGGTTCGAGGCACCCAAATCGGACATTGGGCACTGTTTTAGCGCCCACGTCAGTCTCCTCGGTTGGGGGAGTTTTGACTTCATACGTCGAAGCTTCTGATTCTCTTTGGTTGTTCCTGGAACACACTAAAGATTCTTGTGTCTCTCAGAACAACTAAGAAGCTTTTCCCACTTGCGAGCATACCCCCCGATTGATCCGTTCTAGTTCGGCGTAATTTGAGTCGGAGGTACATTACTATGTATATTCTTTCGATCTAAATTACAAACAAATAAATATCTCATATGTTTCTTATCTATGATAAGTTGGGAAGGCTGTGTGTTTGCAAGAATTTGGTTGATGTATGTTCTCCCGATCTTCCCTAAGACTTTTGAAGTTTTGGAGAACTGGCATCTTCTGATGCGTTCCAATAACAAGAGCTTCACACTGGCCTTTCGTCTCATCATGTGGAATATTGGGGGTGGGGGCTGGAACTGTAGTTGCTTGTGATACCATTAGTTGGTCGACGCTAATATCATCAACTGAAAGTTTAAATTTTGACATCTTCTGGTCCATGAGATCTTTGTATGTCTCAACAAAAAGTTTCACATCATAAAAAAATTGCATGTTCTTTTTAATCACATGGAGAAAATACATTGAATGTATCCATAAATAAGGGAATTCTCTTGAGGGGAGGGCGGGGGGGAGACCTCATCGGATTGAAGTTCTTCTTCGAACTGTTCTTCAGTGTCTGCAGTGTCCTCAGCCTAGGTCTCAACAACGCTCTGCTCTGTGAAATAAATAATTCTCATGGTTGTGCATTACAATAAGACTCAAACGAAAAAATAACTAAAACATAAAATGACAAAAGCAAACAATCCTAAATGTATCCTATTGGCTAGCAGAGGTCGGCTAGACGGATAATAATGATTAGAAGGGATGACAGTAGTCACGGAAGGCGAGTGGTGACGAAGGGAAGGTGTGAAACTATAGAAGCAATAAGTGGGAAGTGTTGTAGGTGCTCGATAGAGGCAATGGGGTGGTTGGGCAGAGCTTGAATGGAGTTAGGAAAGCGAAACAAAAGTAATAATCTACAGCAAGGGGAAATAGTTAAGTGTTGGAGTTATGGTGGAAGAGTTCGATGGCAGAGGCGTGGAGGAGAGAAGGGCTAGAAAAGGTAAAAAGGGAGAACAAAATCACCAAATCGGAGAGGATGCAGCTGGAGCACCATCACCTCCTCGGACACAGCTCCACAAAGAGGAAAGAGACTCCAAACAAAAAAATTGAAACTGAACACAAACACAGCTTTAATCTCACTCTCACAAACACAAAGACAACAATTTATAGACTCCTAAAGGAAACTTCTACACAAAGGAAGAGTGGGAGGCCAAGAAGAATCCAGAAAACACTCTTAATATCTGCAGCCTCTTGAAGCTTCCCTGGAAACGATGTTTCTTCACAGATCGCAACATTTCGCGATCTTCCGCTCGCGGACCCTTGCAAGAAATTGTGATTTCCCCACGCTGCTTTTGAAATTCTAAGCGGTCTGGCCCCGCGGTTCGAAGCGCCGAAATCGGGCACTGTTCAGCGCCCCGAACTGGGCGATGTTTTTGTGCCTGTAATAGGGCTCTTGCCCGAGCACCCGCGTCAGGCATTTTCAAATGCAAACCCCTAATCTAAGTAATTGATAGCATGGGAAAATGTTTGGAACTCTCCAACCTAATTCATTTTGATACAGTCCAACATGCAATTAACTCATATTGTGCTACCATCCTCTATTTTAGCCAGAAGCAAAACAGGTTGAAAAAAAGGAGTTGACAAATCTTTAGAAAAGAGAACTGAAATTTTTACAGTTGCTAATTAGGAGAGAGATGCATCACACCAAGGATCTACCTTCAATTATAATATAGATGTATACAAAAACTTGGTCACACTGAGACATAATGTACAATTTATGGTCTTAAAAAGTACGGCTAAAGCTAAATCAAAGCTACTAGCACTTGGTAATTGTAAGGAAATATAGTGAAAATATTGTTAGAAAAACTAAACAAACATGTGGGAAAATCTTTAAAATCTACCTTATCGAAAATAGTAGAAAAAATCCTATTTGCTATGGCAAGGCAATAACATATTAAAATAGACTAATAATTTATCTTAGAAAATATGGAAATGAAGTAGCTGAAACAAATTATGTTTAAACAAACCATTAAATTTGAGATATCCTCACTGATATTGAAATGCCCGCTAGTTCGCAGAATTCCCACAATCCCACAGCAAACGAAGCTTCCACGATGGCAGGGAGAATGGAGCTAAACCGCGTGATTCTAGTGCCAAAGGCTCGCGGGAGTCCAGCGCTGAAGACTTTCTTATTTTTATTTTGTTCATTTTATTTTGAACTAGTTTCCTTACTTTGCTTCTTTGTTTTCTGGTTCTTAACTATTTCCTTAAACCGATAGCTACCGTATTTATGCTTTAAGAATTTGTTCTCGAGTTTATGATCTTCGGAGCCATCTTCTTTTCGCAAGTGGTGTATTTGTACCTTCCTTAGGAATAGTCAATGAAACCTCCTCGCTGTCTGTATCTCACGGCTTTGCAGTTGAACTTGCCGATTTCAGCCAGCACAACCATCGACAAAATTGAACCTGTCGTCCAACAAGAAATTTATCCCCAGAATCCCTTACCGCACATATTAGACTTCCCTCGTATTCACCTCCACAAAAAAGCTTGATTTCTAAATAAGTTTTAAAAACCCTAGAACGGTATCATCTGGTATCAAAGGCCGACAAAACCTAATTTTTTAGAGATTTATCTTTCTTACCCTAAATCTAACCATCCAGGAAAAGAATTTTCCACAATGCCCAAGCCATTCCTACAACAATTCCTAACCTTAACCCTAAATTTTAAAAATCCAATCTTGCTACCTCCACCAAAATATTACACCTATCACCAAAACTCAAACCCCCGACCAACCCTGAATTACAATCCTAAATCTATCAGAAACCTGATCAAAAGAAAATGATACAATGTTTTGTAAGAGAAACCAACAAAGAGGTGTCCAAAAGTTTATATATAGGATATGAAGTGAGAAATCGAATGTTGAATCGCATGATTCCAATGATAAAGGCTCGAGGAAGTCCAATGTTGAAGATTTTTTACTTCATTTTCTTTATTTTCATCAAGCTTCCTTTGTGTCTTCCTTTCCTGGTTCTTAATTATTTCTCTAACTTCTAATTAGGTGTCTTTATCAAGTTACTATAGATGTGTATTTTGTTGTTTTGAGGACATCCAACTATTGTAATTGTTTTGAGAAATTGTTCATGAGTTTATATTCTCTGGAGTATTACATTATCTTTCTTTTACAAGTGTATTTATATTGATAGCAAAATTTAACAAACAACCAAGAGAAACAAATATTATTACTAAATTCAAAATCTGAAATTGCAACAAAAAGTAGGAAAACTGAAATTGCAAATAAAAAAATAACACAACACTGGAACAAGAGCTACGGTGTAGGTTGTTCCGGCTAGGGTTTGGATCTCCAGGGTGGTAGCAAAGATGTGGCTAGCAAGCTAGAAACAACAGGACAGTAGTTTCCCGAAGTCCGGACAGCAAGTAAGCAGGAACAGCTGCAGGTGGGCTGTTTTGGGTGTCGGCATCAGGGAAGGTGATGTGAGAGCGATGTGGGAAATGATGGGAGAAAAGTATAAGGATAAAAACCACCTGGAGACCAAGATACAACCGGAACCATTTGAAACCCTAGGATATAGCCCGTAGAGAGAAAACAAGACGTTGATGACTGTCCCAAATCACAGCAAAAATTGAACCCTAAACAACAAAGAAATACTTAAATAGACTACTACTATAAGAAGTGGGCACACACTCGAATTCGGCAGCAACCCTAGGCCTAGAGAGGGTCATCAATCCCTCCCTCAACTTGGACCGAACTAGTCCAGGGTGTACAAAACCCCAACATCAAGTATCTTCTTAGGAATAGGTGGTGGAGCCTTCTCGGCACCCTTATCTTGCCATTTTGCTGTCCAATTTACTTCAGCCAATACAGCAGTCGGCGATGTCAAACCTGCTGTCCAACAACAGACTTATCCTCGCAATCTCTTCCAAACACTATATACCACACATGTTAACCTTTCCTCACTATTCCATAACCATCTCCCCGTAAACTCAATTCCTACATATCTTATCGGAACCCTAGAACGCTATCACTACCCAAAGTTTTACCTAGCCTAAATTCTAGCAAAAATTTTAATAATCGAATCAACAATTAGGGCATGACAAACATATACAAAATAGCTCGAAGGGAGTGAAATTATTCTGAATTTTTTGCCACCACACTTTCATCTACACCAATCCAACAATCTATGTACAACAACATTCCATCAACAACAATCCAATAACTTGTAGATAACAACTTTCTATCTGTAGCAATTTAAATATATGGACTGTAATATTAAATTTCTGTTATGCAGTTAATTCTGACAAAATTAAAATTGGTTTCAAGTTTTGTTTCTCTTTGATAAAAAATCTCAACTTAATTATTTATTCATACCTTGGACAACTTCACATCTCACTTCTTATACTGTATAAGAGAATAAAATTAAGTCATATAATATCTTCTGTTCTACTCTCCTCTCTTCTCAATCCAACTTTAAAGTTTTATCTTTGAAATAATATTCTAAGATATCATAAAGCCCATCACTAATAATTTAACATCCCATTTCCTAAGTGCACAGCCCATACTGAGGCGTTATGTTCTTATGAAGAAATCAAATATAAATAAACTTTTACATATCATTTAGCAACTTTAGAATAACATGAATCTAAAATAAAAAGTTGCAACAGATAAAATCTTTAATATTGCCTTGCTAAATCAGCTACCTAGTGAAACCTGAACAAACAAAGCAAAACAATTATCAAGTTTAACAGATGTAAATGTTATATCTTGTTCTTTCTACAAGAATGTATTTTGAGTTGACAGTGACCTCCCACAACATCTTAAACTGCCATTTGCCATGATAGCTATTCGATCTCCCAGAACATCAGCTTCATCCATAGAATGCGTTGTTAGAAGAATTATCCTTCCTTTTTTGATCTTCTTTATCAATTGCCATGTAGAACGCATAGCATATGGATCCATACCACTGGTAGGTTCATCAAGAATGATAACCTGTTTAATACGAAACAACATCCATAGAAGTATTCTAGAAAGAAGAAAATCGAGATATAAATAGATCCCCGTACCTTGCTATTCCCGATAAGAGCAATTCCAAGTGATAATTTCCTCTTCATTCCTCCAGAAAGTGATCCTACAACTGAGTTAATCTTATCGGTCAATCCTACCTGCAATCAATGTATTCAAGATAGAAACACTCATGATTAGCAAGACGGATTATGACGAGAAACTTATCCATGGGCAACATATTTCTAAAGCTTTGTAAGAACATGAAAAAAATAGAGACGATGTCTGGCGCTATGAAATAATTATTGAAATAAAGGCAATTAACATTACATTTAAAAGTTGGATAATTATAGAATCTATGTTGAAGGGCAATGGGCAATCCTCGAGTTGATTGTACAAAGTGTGGATTATCTATCAAGAGTAAATGAAATCAGGAAGAATAAAGCGTTTCCTTCTTTGCAATGCTGCAAAGAAGGAAATATTACATTTGCATGAATTCTTTGCTTTTAGCTGAAAATTTAGATTAGAAATATGTATTAATTAAGTTATTTAAAATAAATTATACAGAATATTATGTACCTAAAATAGATTGTACAGACTATTTTTTATTGGAATAAAAGCAAAGGAAAAGACATTCAGCCTATTTGTTCAAAATAATGATATGGTATCAGAGATTGAATCGGTCTAAATCCTAGGTATTCTTTAGCTTTTGTAATCGTTCGCAGGCATCTTCGACTGCTTCCAAGGTCCTCGCCAGAAGCGCTCGTTCTTGTCCTTGTTTGAGTTCTGCGGAATCTTCGTCCGCCTTCGTGTCGCGATCCTCATTGCTTTGATCGCGACAACCGCGATCATCTCATCCTGTCTCAAGCCGAAGAGCAATCACTCGCGATCCTCACTGCTTCGATCGCGACAATCAAAATCTTCTCATCCTGTCTTAAGCGAAACTTTGATTTTCTTTGATTTTTTTTTTTTTGGATCTCTCGGTTTTTCTTTGGCTTCGAACTCCTCTCCTAATTTAAGGCAGTGCACGATTTTTTTTGGGTTGATTTACATCAAAGATTTAGATTTTTTTTTAATAACTTAGCTTTCTTTGATTTCTTGTTGATTTTGATCAACGACAATTCTTTTTAGAATATCTTCTGAAATCTTAGCTATCAGATTTACGGGAAAGAATTATGCCGCATGAGAATTTCAGCTCAGAATGTTCTTAAAAGAGAAGGACCTTTGGGGCCATATCGATGGGCCTTCTCCAGCTCTTGCTGAGGTAAAAGATCTTAGTCAATGGCAAACAAAGAATGTCAAGATTGTTTCCTAAATTTTGGGGCCTATTGAAGCTCATATGGTGAATAATTTACGATCATTTGGCATAGCTAAAGAAATGTGGGAATACTTGAAGTGCGTTTACAATCAAGATAATTCTGCGAAATGTTTTCAATTGGAACTTGACATGAGTAATTATAGTCAGGGTAATTTTTTAATTAAACAATATTATTCTGGCTTTCTAAATTTATGGAGCGAATATACTGACATTATGTGCTAAGGTGTCAAAAGAGAACTTAGCTAGTCTTCAGACTATTCATGAAGAAAGTCACCGTTATTAGTTGTTAATGAAGCTCAGACCTGAATTTGACACTGCTCGGGTTGGGTTGCTTAACAGAGACCCGGTTCCTTGTTTGGATATTTGATTTGTTGAATTAGTACGCGAAGAACAAAAATTGACGACACAAGCTACTATTAGTACAACAGGTGGATCATCAGAAACAATTAATATGACATATGTTGCTCAGACCAAAGGGAAGGGACCAGTGCAATGCTACAACTGCAAGAAATTTGGTCATATTGCAAGAAATTTGGTCATATTGCACGAAATTGTAAAAATGAGTGTTGTAATTATTGCAAGCAAAAGGGACATATTATTATGGAGTATCCTACACGACCCGGGAACTGCAAAACATTTCATGACACAGTATCCAAAACTCACAATCCTGGCTCAATATCCACAGTTGCTGGCAACAGATGATTCTCTCTGTCTTTTCTGCTCTCGGCCTTAAAGGAAAAGATAAAACTATTACTTCCGTTCATTCTCATTGGTTTGTTGATTCAAGAGCAACAACTCATATAACTTGCATAGCTAATTTATTACATAACCAACGTCAGTACGCTGGTACTCAACTTATTCAGGTTGCTAATGGAAATAATATTCCAATTATGACAGTTGGTGATATTAACTCCTTCAGATATGTTTTGATTTTTCTTCAATTATTTGAATATTACGAGTCATGATATTCAATTTCTTGTGCAACAAGTTAGTCAATTTATGCAACCACCAACACATCTTCATTTAGCTGCAGTTCGATGTATTGTTCGGTATTTGAAAGGTACTTCTCATTGTGGTCTGTTTTTTTTCTGCGGAGTCTCCTACACCTTAACAACCTATAGGATGTTGATTGGGCTAGTTGTCCTGATATACGCCAATTTAATATTGGATGGTGCATGTTTCTCGGCAACTCTTTAATCTCTTGGAAGAGCAAGAAACAAAATCGAGTGTCCCCAGCTTGTTCCGACATCATTTGGCTTCGGGGGAATGCGCTGGTTGAGCTTGGTTTTCCTCAGCTTGAGGCTACTTCTCTTCATGAAGATAATATCAGGGCTATTCAGATTGCTACTAATCCCGTCTTTCATGAGTGCACGAAACACATTGAAGTAGAGTTTCATTCCATTTGAGAAGCCTATGAGGATAGTGTTATATCTCTTATATTACTTTTGATCTTCAGACGACTGATATATTTACTAAGATTCTTTCTCGACAGCGTCATCAGTTTCTTGTTGGCAAATTGATGCTTCTTAATCAGCCAACATCAATTTGAGGGGAATATCAATCAGGAGTAAATGAAATCAGACAAAATAAAAAGTTTCCTTCGCAATGCTGCAAATAATGAAATATTATTTTTGCATAAATTCCTTCCTTTTGGTTGAATATTTAAATTAGGAATATGTATTAATTAAGTTACCTAAAATAAATTATACAGAATATTATGTACTTAAAATAAATTTTACAGACTATTATTTATTGGAATGAAAGCAAAGGAAAAGACATTCAACTTACTTGCTCAAAATATTGACATAGATGATACTGGAGTTGACCTAATCCACAATAGAACTGCAAATAATATTGCTGAAATCAAAAGGGTTACAAACAAAGCCTCTTGACAAAAAGAAAAATAAAAAACACAAACATAAAAAGACACCCTAGAATGAGGAAGGGGGTAGTCTGCAGTCGAGGTGGTGGAAACCGGTGACTAGATGGAGGTAAGAAGGCGGCTAAAGGAAAGCTGGTTGTTGGATTGGAAAGTGGCTGAGGTAATGGGTAACCACTGTGATCGGCAGTCAGGAGGGCTGGAGTTGGAGGATGGGAATATAGGATTGCTATGAAGGAACTAGGCGACAAGGAGAGGGGTAGGTGTGGCGGCAAGGAGATGGGCTAGAGTGGTCGCAGAGTAGAGAACGGAGGGAAAAGCAATTAGCGGCAGAGAGATGTGTTGGAGTTGGCGGCTGGGAGCAAAAAAGACCGAGAGAGCAACTAATTGTAAAGAGAAGGCTTGAAGTTCGCGTCTGGGAGCAAAGAGGGGCGGGAAAAGGTAATATGCGGAATGCAGGAGCTACGACAGCAAGCAGAAGGGAAAGGGGAGGGGTCGAGGAAATAATTACCATTTCGGAAGCTGGAGCACCACTTATCCTTGGATACAAACCTAGCAAGAGAGAAACATAGATGACGGGAAATCTAAATATCGAAAAACTTAACTCTAAAAGCATAAAATAATGTATTTATGATAGAGGTAACTCGAGTGCAAGGCTTCAAGCAAAAACATCTCCAGCAGTGAGGCTTCTATCTATTCACCAAAAGGAGGGAATGAAAAGATATTATTACTCTTATTCTTCCTCAATACTAAACAACATAAACCTTAACCAAGTTTCCTTGCTTTTCCTCAATGAAATCAATTCGCAAACCCAAGGTATTGCTCTTTATGTTACTTTGATAAATGTTTGGAAATCTAATGGAAAAAAAAAGAAAATCAGAGATAAAAGTCCCATCTTCTTTCCAATTCACTCAAGTAAAGCAGCCATCAAACCGAGAAAACCAGGTCTTGTTGGGTGAATAGTTTACAAAGATTCATCTTCCCCAAATAATTTATCTTCCATATTGTAATGAATAATGAACAAGCCGCTATCTTATATTTCAGTTGTTTAAGTAAAGAATATACTATTCTATGCAATTTTCCTTACAAATAAACACTATATGTTGACGAGAATGTGAAAGAAATAAAGTATAGAAGTATTTTCATGTGGTAAGAGTTGCCCAGGCCCCTCCAATAATTTAATAAATATTTTCATATAAGTCCCTTGTACGTAGGGGTTAGCGTTTGGTTGGGTCTGATGAATCGGTTTTCAAATTGGTTAAACTCATTGCAACCACAATCCAAAATTCAAAAAGACAAACCAATCAAAAATTTGATAAAACCAAACTGACCAAACAAAAATTCAGTTTGCATTAAACGGTACAGGCATGAACAGATCGAAATTTAGTTGGTTGGAGTTCGTTTATGAACAGACATCCACAATTACATACCTTATATGTATAATATGAGTTTAATTTGATGAACCCTCCATTTAATTTAGAATTTTCGATTTGCCAGGGCAAATGAAAATAAAAATTAAACCAAAAACCAAAGATCGAATATTAACACTAAAAAAATGAAACACATTTTAAAAATTGAATCAAATCACGCAAACTTGTTTGACTTGGTTCATTTTTTTTGGTTTTGGCTCAATAATACGCATCGCTACTTGTGTGGTAAAGAGATAATATAAGATATTTTGTTTATAGTAGGCAAGAAGAATGTACAAATCGGTATATGTATAGTTATGATAGATATATAATACAGATAAGTGACATGGCAATTCACATCTTTAGGCGGGCACGAGCAGCCACACCGAAAACCGTGCACATCAATCCTATTCCAACATGGTTCAGGGATTTAGGTTCTCTTGAGCTAGCCGACACGCTATATAAATTTTAGTTGCTTTGATAAGTTATGTTTGTGTTGTTAGAATCTAGTTTGGAACTTTTGCATTTGCTTTGTGATTTTTTTTAGATTAATTT